CAAGCCAGGTTCTCCCCATGGTCCCTTCTCCGTGGGTCAGCCAGTCCTGTCAAACCAGGCAAAAGTGTCACCTTTGAAGGATGAAGTGTAAACTGTGGATATAAAGGTGCCTCTGGTACTCATAGCTCCTTTTCCTCCCATTCTTCCACCTTCCTTGCATCTCCTGCTCCTTGCTGGCCTTTGAAGAGCACATGTGGGTAAGGAACAGGAGATGAGGTGAGACTGTAGTCGAGAACAGCAGTCAGCTGGAGGTTTGCAACAATTAACTGAAGATTTGAAGGACACAGCAGAGTTCAGATGTGAAATGAGAGACTGAGTCAACCGCTGGTGTACATGAGGGGCAAAACCCCAATCCCACATTTAATCATACGGATTAAGCTGCTGTGGGAGTTGCTCCAGGGCGTGCTCAAAGTAAGAGGTTGCAGAGGCTGCTTCAGTGCTCCAGAAACTGTAGATGGGCACGTACACCTCCAGGCAGGGCGTGAGAAACTTCCCGGAGGTGATACAAATTAGCTTGGGGAAAGCCCCAGCATGGGTGTCTTAGCCTGGTGGCTGCACTGGTGTCTCAGCACCATTTCAAACTAGGCAGAAGGATGTACTTGGACAAGACTTTTGTAACGGTTGGATGAACCTTACTCTCTGACTCCCTGGTACAGTCCTGTTCTAATGACTTGATACTTGCTTTCCAGGTGATTTTAGCAAGAAGCGGGATCGCCCTCAGCCCAGAGCATCTGGGCTATTTCGCCTTGACCCCATCCTCACTTGTCATTCTTTTCTGATTTGTGTCTGTCAAAGTCATCTTAAGCCTGGGAAAACTCAGAGAAAGGCTAACAGGGAGGAGTAGATCTCTTCCAGCACCATAGGAGTGCTGCTGTTTCTGGGGCTCCATATTGTGCTTCTAGAGGAAATTCTGCTGTGGAAGGGAGAGAGATGGGGGAACGTTTTTAGTGTTGGGGATTATAGTTTGCATTGCATGCCTGGAGAGGTGTTATGTGATTGTGCATCAGGATCTTGGATAAGGGGTGGCCCTAGAACAGAAGAAAAGTGTGCAAATGGCAGTTTGCAGTCCTCTTCCAAGATGAGAGAGGCAGAGAAACAGCTGAGCTACCATTGAAGTAGTAGTTTGTTGGGCAATATCACGTAGTATGCTGTGGTTTCCACTCGCTTCTGCTGCTGCCGACTTCACAACCTTCATGAATACAAAGACAGGAGGAGGGCTGCGTGTTTTCCCTGACTGCTCGTGACGTGCACTTTCTCATTCTTCTCTCTCCGTAGTGAATTTGCCAAAGAGCGTGAGAGGGTAGAAAATCGCCGAGCTTTCCTGAAGCTCCGCAGGCAGCAGCAAATCGAACGGGAGCTAAATGGGTACTTGGAGTGGATCTTCAAAGCAGGTAAGGCGAGAGGTCTCTTGATTTTTGTTCTGTATGTTTTGTGGCGAGTAGACTCTGGTGAAGATGTAGGATGGTGACCCCAGAACTGGTCCTTGGTGTTGTTGGCTCTTGAGCTACCCCACGACCAGAAAGAGCCCAGCCAGCACTTGTTGGTTTTGTCGGGCTTGTTTCTGAGCAGTCACACTAAAGTTTACTGCAAAGGATCTCGGTTTGATTAAGCAAAAATAAAGGAGATGGGCCAACTTACTTTATTGCTGAGATCAAAGCAATTGTCTTAATACAGTAGAATATAAAAAGTGATACAGTGCCCAAAGTCTGCTCAGTGGGGAAACTGTTCCCTTATATGAGTCATTTATATTTTATTTACTTTCCACCACAGCTGTTTTATAAGCCTCTCCTGCAATGATGGTAAAATACACCGGAGTGTCATTTTTATGAGCTACAGAGATCGCTTTCATGAAACTCACCCCAGCACATATTAACATTGCTTTATAACTATTATAACTGAACACTGCACTTTATTGCAAGACATGAGCATCTTTAACAAGGACCCAAACACATTAATTTAGCAGAAAACAGCATACTTTTCCTTTTATGTTGAACAGTAAAGGTTACCAATAAGCTTTCTGTGCTATCGAGTAGCTAATAGATATATTGACATAACCACAGTGTGATTCATTCATACACCATCAAGAAAACTTCTGGGATTAATTCCTCTCCTTGCTTGCTTTTCTGAGAAGCTGAAACATCTGAGTGAAATAAAAATGCCCTTTAAAACAACGATGCACAGAAAAAGAAGTGGGGATTTCTCAGATAGATTTTTTCAGGTGCTTTGCTAGGCACGTCGTGTTCATCCTTGCCCTTTACTGATGGGGAAGCTGAAGTCCAACGTTACGTAGTGACTCGCCCGGTGAGATTTACAGCTTCTGTTTGGTGTGCACAGCCCGGGTGCTGGTATTTGGATGAGCATTTTTGCAGGGCTCCTGCTGCCTTGCTTCTGCTTTCTCCTCCGAAGGGCTCTGCCAGCCCCTGTGCTCGGGGGAGCGGGGCTCAGCCCTGCCCAGAGAGCTGTGGTCTGGTGCAAGTTTGGACAACCTGGCTGGAGAGGAAAAAAGCTGAAGCATTGACATGTCAAAGAGAAAGAAGCAGGAGCAGTCTGTAGGGTGACTTGAACCCATTATTTCCCACAGCATGATACAGAGTGACAACCGAGTGCCAGTTGTAGTGAGGGACTTTTATTTACTGTGACTGTTCAACAGCAACTGTCCCCAATTAGGTAACCACACTCCGTTCTGCAGGATTTTATTGTCTAAAAAAAGAAACATTCACTTCCCATTTATAATTTGTCTTCCCCATTTGTTTACAGCTTTTGTGCTACTTCAAATTCAAATTAATTAATGGTTTATCCGGTGGCTGGAGCAGAGCCCTTCATGGTTCTCCCTTGGCTCTAGTGCCGTCTCACTTTTAAGGCTCTTGGGATTTCTCGGTCTCTAAATCCTGGTCTCCTCATCAGTAAAATAAAGATAGAGAATTCCCTTGCAGGGTTGTGGGTTGCTTCGTTTCATTTTGGTGGCTGTTCTGCCAAGAAGAGCTATGCAGAAGGTCATTAGCTGCACTTGACTGAAAGTTGAGGTGAAGAAGTTATAAACCACAGAGCCAATCCAGCCGTGCATCCCTGGGGATATGGCTGGTTGTTCTGTTTCTGTGCTGCCGGTACTGAATAAATGCCACTCCAGTATAGAGAGAAACTGCTGTAAAATGCACATCTTTTTATTTTGCCTGATTAAAACAAGATCCGGAAGGTTTTCTAGAACAGGAAGGTGTCTGCAAATTAGCTGAATCAGGGAATAATAAAAATATTCTGTACAGCTGAATAATATCAATAATTAAAGCCAGCTTAGCAGTCTCAGTAAATCTTTGAATACAAAAACTAGTGTGAAGGCTAACTGAAACGGAATAGTTAGAATAGTTAGCTAACTGGTTAGAATCCAGGCTCTGAAACTTGGGACTGTGATGCCGATGGGGACTTCCCATTTCTGTTTTAGAGGCCGGGATTTCAGCTGTGAAATGATCTTGAATTTCCAAACTAGATAACTGGTTTTCTTTGTCCAGGACCATGTGAGAGACAACAGCTAAAGCAAGCTCCCAAGGTTGTGGGGAGGAAAACACCTGGGGACGGTCACAGACAGCCCAGAGAGTACAGAAACCTCTTGTGCCAGCCTGGGTGTGATAAGTTGTTTGCATAAATGAAAGAGCAAAATCTCTTGGTATTTAGCTCTAATGGAGGATTTTGCTGATATTTGTCTGAATATCTAGTTGTTTTTAAATCCTGCAAGCATCCTTGACCTCACTGAATCTTGTAGCGAGGAGTTCCTCATGGTAACAAAAGTCTGGTTGATTTTTTTAAAAAGCAACCCAGCCCACTAAACTGTATGTCCTGTCCTCGATTTTAAATATGTTGCCTTTCTGCAATGAGAGGAAGAGCTCAGGAGAGCACTTCTCATTTCTTTTTATTACTTTTCCTTCTCTGCTCTCTCCTTACCTTGTTTCATCTTATTTTTTCTGCTCTGAAGCATGCAAAACCAATCTGCTCAATCCCCTCTCTTGCCATGGAAGCCTCTCCAGGCTTCTAATATATTTACAGTATCCTCCCTGAGAATTTGTTTGTTCATTTTGTTTCTTCATTTATTTTTGATGCAAGGTAGGAAGAGTAGAAAGCTGCATTCCAGTGATTGGTATAGTGGCATCTTCATACTTAACCTGATTGGTTTTGCTCTGTAGTATTTTATATGTCCTGATTAGTTGCTGCTAGAGCTGGAAAGGAAGTTTCCTTCTTGGTAGTGCTCCAGTTTTGACCTGAAGGGCTGTAACTGGTTTAAGACCAAGGCATGTGACTAAAATCACTCGTTCACCTGTCTGCTACCTCCCATTTGCATTGAGAAGGTGGTTCAGGTAAAATGTTGGGGTTGTTTACTATCAACTCTTCCTTATATTGAAATTATTGACTGTTTAGTCCTGCAGAAGAAAACAAAGGGTCTTTCTTTCCTCTTCCTGAAGTGCTGACTCAAGCGTGTTCCAGACCTGGTTTAATGACCTGTCTTACCTTTGTGTTGTAAGAATGAAGCTGCTCTAATAGCCTGGCTCTTGAGTAACTGGCTTTTATTTTATTTTTTTTTTCTGGTAGTACTTTGATATTTTTTTCCAGTGGTAAAATAAGAGTATAAAAAGAAAGAAAAAATATTAATAAGGAGTGCTTGTCACATTTTCAAGGAGGAGGTACCTTGGCACACCTGGAAGATTTTGGTGCCAGATCACTAGTGATAAATCACCAGAAGTGCAGCTGTGGTTGAAACTGAAGCGAACATAGTTCAAGCTCTTTTAAATGTGGATTGTTTAATACAGTCAGCAGCGTATTTGCTCGAGGGATCTATCGCAAGGTGTTCTAAACAGTGGCAACCTTAGTGTGCAAACACTTGTGTGAATTATACTTAGTACAGGAAGTCTTAATTGATTGAAGTGCTTAACAAACACCTCCGTAACAAAAGATTGGGGAATGAAAGAGAAAATCACAGCACAGATAATGTGCCGTAGTGCTGAATTTAGATGTGCATGAAAGAAAAAAAAAATCAACCTACGATCTGACTAATTTCCTCAGAGTTTGAATTTACTTTCTCAGGATTATACAGATCCTCAGGTATGAAGTTTCCAGCTTTACTTATTTCTCGGGTATGTGTTCAGGAATGAATACGTAGGGTAGTAAGGAGGGTTTAAATATTTTCAAATGATAACAGCTGATTTTATGCTGAATTCCCATATCATGAGGTCAAGATGAAGCAAGGAAAAATTGGAACTCAGTAGAGTCTCTTTTGAAGACGTCAAGAAGAAATGTCATGCCACCTTCAATAACGTATAAATTTCTAAGTGTCGTCAGCTCTGTAAGATATTCAGTCTTAGAAAACTAGTGTGAGTAACAGGCCAGAAGCAATGATCAAATCTCATCATTCCTTGTATCTCACAGAATTTAGGCCAAAATCTTGTATGGTAGTTGTCATGTCAAGCTCATAAACACTGACTCTCTGTATTGTTTAAAAGTCAACTGTGTGGATCAGTTAGAACCAGACTTGTGATCTTAAATTTAATCCTGAAGAATAAACTCAACTCTCTGTTTTTTTAGTAAACCCTTTAAAGGGCCCAACTCCTTCCACCAGCAGAAATCAGCTGGCACAGGTGCAAAGAGCAATGCTTCGCACCACGCTGCTCCTCTGGGCACGAGACGATGGTTCTTGTCCCCAAAAGCCTCTTCTTGAGTTCACCCAGTATCAAATAAAATCTTGTCGATGAAGAGCAACCCCCGTCCTGTTCCACCTGCTGTGTGCTGGGACAGACTCTGCTCTTCGTTTCATGTTTTGGTCGGGCTCCGTGCAAAGGCAGGAGGGAGTTTGAAATGGTGCTTTTCAGAGGAATTAACGAGCGGTGAAGCTGAGCAAGGTAATCCATGCAAATGATTTCGCCACCGCTGCTTTCTCCATTAAACTCCTCAAAACTGTGGCAACTCTTGGGCTGTCATGCTGCATTTCCAATGGAGAGCGGGGAACTAGAAGTTCTTTGCACTAAGTAAAGTGCTTATAAGGCTACAAATATTCTTTTGAAGATGTTTCTCTTATCTTACAAGGACATGCATCGTTTTGAAAACCCTTTGCTCAGAGACTGGAAGTCTTTCAGTTCAGAGCTAATCAACTTGCATGTCTTTTGCATTTTAATTCTTTCCAAGTCCATCTCTCTCGCATAGCGCTGATTCTGAGCGTTTCTTTTCTTCTGGAGTAAGCAGGCTTCAGGAATGGGTTTAACCTTTCTCTGCTGGCTCACTGTGGCTTAAGTGCCGTTCCTTGACACGACAAATCTTTATGAACCTCAGGTTTCAGCTTTCTGTAGAAGAGACAGAGCAACGAGACCCTTGATACAGCTGGGCAAAGACACCTACATCAAAGAAAAAGGGCAGCAACGTGTGTGAGATGGCAAGGGAGAATACTTGCCAGGAAGACAAATCAGAGCTCCTTGTGAGAGTGTGGTGGCTTCTTCTAAGGGAGATTTTTTTATCCACTTTTTCTGTTGTACAAGCCTGAAGCTGAAACAGTTAAATTCAGTTGCTCTTCCTTTCCTTTGACTTCTGTTGCCTGTTTGCACCTGAGCTGATTCCTGTAATCTGCTCTTCTTTCGAGCCCCCAATGTCCCATCTGCTCATGCCAAAGAGAAAGAGCAGGGGTACCGTGTTTTTCTGCTGCTTTGCCCATCTTACTCAGCTTGTCAGTTCCCCACTGTAAGGCTTGCTTTTATTTCCAGTCCTGTGACACCCTGTGTGCTGTCAGCACTTAACGACCAGCAATTAATCTTACAGCTGAGACACCTCTTACTGACAGCCAGCGAGGCTCCTGTGCTCAAACAAAGGTTTGGAGGCTGGGAGTTGCTGATCTGATACTGTCTCTTTGTTGCATATTTCTTCTAATGGAGAGGCACTGTTGTCTGGAGGATTTTCAGGTGTCCCAGTTATCTTCTTCCAGCCTCTGTGTTGCAGTCATGACTAAAGGCAACGCAACTTCTGATCTCCTGCTTAGGATGCTGTAAGGTTAAAAAACCCCAACTCCTAGTGACGATGACTAGCCTGCCAGGCTGTCTTTTTAGCAGGCTTTAAAACCCATATAAAGCCCCAGTAGGGTAGATCATGTGGTCCTTTGGTTTCCCGGAGGATCCAGGACAGATGAGAGTCACTGTCAGGAGCAATGGTGAGTGGAGGAGAGTTTGGCTTGAGGGAATTACGTAGGTAAAACCTGGATTTTGTTTATTTTAAGGGACAGTAAGACTGAACCCTGGTGTGAGGTATGTCTGTAGATGGAGATGTGTTGGAGCATTGACTCAGGGTCTTGAATCATAGAATGTTTTAGGTTTGAGGGACCTTAGAGATCACCTAATCCGACCTCCCAGCCATGGGCAGGGACGCCTCTCAAGTAGAACAGGTTGCTCATCCAACCTGGCCTTGAACACCTCCAGGGAGGGGGCAGTCACAACTTCTCTGGGCAATTTATTCCAGAGTCATGCCACCCTCGAACTGAAGAATTTCTTCCTAAGATGCAGTCTAAATCCATTCTCCTTCAATTTAAATCTGTTTCTCCTTGTCCTATTGCTGGACATTTGTGTAAAAAGTCCCTCTCCAGCCTTCCTGTAGGTTCCCTTCAGCCACTGCAGGGTCCCCACGGAGTCTCCTCCAGGCTGAACAATCCCAGCTCCCTCAGCCTGTCCTCGTAGTGGAGGTTCTCCAGCCCCTGGATCATCTTTGTGGCCTCCTCTGAACTCATTCCACCAGATCTATGTCCCTCTTATGGTGGGGACACCAGAACTGGACACACTATTTGGGGTGGGGTCTCACAAGAGCAGAGTAAATGGGGAGAATCCCCTCTCTCGACTTGATGGCCACACTCCTCTTGGTGCATCCCAGGACAGGGTTAGCCTTCTGGGCTGCGTGAGTGCGCTGCCAGCTCGTGTTGAGCTTCTTGTCTATCGACACCCCCAAGTCCTAGGGCAAATTTAGGGCAAAGGCCCATCTGGTTTACAGAATTGTCTCGATGGTCTGCAGGTGAAAATGTGTTGATGTGAATTGTCACAGTTGACAAGTTCGGAGGTCCCACTGGCATTTAGCAGTCTGGTTTCTGAAACCCCAGTATGGCTGAAGCTCTCGCCAGCCTGACTGTGAGGTCGCAGGTGACACAGGAACGTCAGATGGCACCAGTACACCGTTGCAAACCATGATGGTTACTTATCCACACAGCTCACAGTCTCTGGGGACTCAGGATTGTTCCTGCCCAAAGGAAAGAGAACAGTCACAGCAAAGAGTTACAGGAACGTTCAAAACAAGAAGACACTCAGAAACAGGGGAAAAGCAGAATTTCTTTTCCCTGCTCAGAGATCTTTGAAAGGAACCAGTACAAATGATTTCCCTCATGCACTGATATGAATCAAGTCTAGAACTGATGTAAAGTTTTTAAAATCACACTCCATGAGCAATGTAAGCTTTAAAAAAAAAAAAAATCTATAGAAAATTCCCACCATAATAGCATCTCAATCTTATGCTCCTTCCAGTGCAGGTTTACTTTGTTTTTCACATTTACAGGCCTTTTGTCTAGCTGCCTTAAGGAAGGGAGCTCCACATCTAAACCATTTCTTCTACATGTTTTAGGGCAGTCATGTTCATTATTAGTTGCCGTTTAACTCCTTCCATGGTTTTAGCCCCCAAACACCAGTGCAGCTTTTCCCCAGGTAAGACTTCCGAAGAATCTTCTGGTTTCTGAGGTGCTGGTTTGAGAGAGAAGTCTCTTGAACTGTCTAAAAAGCCCATTTCACTTTTCTGACCTGTCTTATGGAGCTTCTGAAAATGCCTGAATTATATTGGCCTATGAGTTTTGGGAAGGATTTCACACCTTTTAAAGTGCAGATGTTTAGCTCACCTGAAATTTTTAACCCTGTCTCAGCTTTTCTTTCCTCCATGTCTCTGCTACACTTTCTTATTTTGCTCTCCTCTGCTTGGGTTTCCAGTCTTCCTCAGTCCTGGATATTATTTTTCAGCCTTCTCAATTTGCTGTCTTATTAATATCTTTCACTCTCCCTCCCGGATGATTAATAAAGAGATTATATAAGGCTTGTGTAGTAGTGCTGATCCCTCTAGTATTCTTCTAGACAGCTTTCAGCTCCACACTTTGATGTTTACTCTGTGATTTGCTGTGTTTTTGTTGTGGGTTTTTTTTTTCAGTTAGCCTTCCATCTAGGCTGGCATAAATGGACTTTAAAGCAAAATTTTGTGGGAACACAGTGTCAGATGTTTTAGTAAGATTCCAAACTGCATCTCTGAAAAGCATGTCAAAGAATTTGTTATTTATAATAATACCAGGAAGTGTACAGTTTACCAGCTGCAACTCAATATTTTGTTCTGTTTAGATTGTCCTTTAGAAAATCCTCATGTAATTTGACAGCGGCAAGCTAAAAGCTGTGGTTCAGACTCTTTGAACTGTGTGATTTCAAGTATTGGCGCAGAGTGGTGCGTGCTGCAAATTGACTTGGGTGATGACATTTGCATTGTGAAACCTTGGGAAACTTGATTCTTTCAGGCGGATAGAAATGAGTCAGTTCAGGGGTTTTTTTCTTCAATGTTCTCTGAATTCTTTCACTGTAGGAAAGTATAAACTTGTAGTTTTGAGATAAGTTACACAGGAATGGAAAACTGACGGTGGTGTTCTGTGCCACGAGACGTCCCTTTCCCACGGGCTGAGCCCTGATGTTATTGATGGAGATGAGGAGCGGCAATGGGTGTTGAGGGGTGAGGCCACATCTGGAATCTTGTGTCCAGTTCTGGGCCACTCAGCTCAAGAGAGACAGGGAACTGCTGGAGAGAGTCCATGGCAGAGCCACAAGGATGATGAAGGGAATGGAACATCCCCCTGATGAGGAAAGACTGAAGGAGCTGGGGCTCTCTAGCTTGGAGAAGAGGAGGCTGAGGGGTGACCTCATCAATGTTTATAAATACGTCAAGGGGGAGTGTCAGGAGGACGGAGCCAGGCTCCTCTCAATGGCGTCCAATGACAGGACAAGGGGCAATGGGTTTAAGCTGGAACATAGGAGGTTCCACCCTGTGTGGGTGCCGGAGCCCTGGCCCAGGCTGCCCAGAGAAGGTGTGGAGTCTCCTGCTCTGGAGACTTTCAAAACCTGCCTGGACACGTTCCTGTGTGACCTGCTCTGGGTGATCCTGCTCTGGCAGGGGATTGGACTGAATGATCTCTAGAGGTTCCTTCCAAACCCCAACATTCTGTGATTCTGTGAGCATCTTTGCCTTCTCAAAGAGTGTCTCCAACATGGCTGGGCAGGAGGGGGACCATCCTCTGTTTTGTGGAGACCTGTGATCTTGCTCGGGTCTGCAGGAATGTTCTTGGTCTCCAGAAGTCCCTTGTGGACGATAACTGGGTAAAGAAGCTGAAGCAGGTGGTTGATTGTGGAGAAGGAAATTGCCGAGGAAGTGCTATGGTCTTCCAGGGGTTTTCCTGGCCTCCTCCCCCTGTGCAAGAGGGGCACGGGATAAGAAACACGACTCGGAGCTGTGCCTTCCTCCACAGAATTGGTGTCATTGGGTGATACAATGGGATAAGGCTGGTGGCAGCTGGGACAGATGCCTGCCATATCCAGCTCGGCTGTATTTTTGGAGCGGGAATGTGATAAATCGGAGGTTGAATCTTGCTGTCTTTCCTTTTACAGAGGAGGTCATGCTGGCAGAGGAAGACAAGAACGCCGAAGAGAAATCTCCTCTGGACGGTAGGTCCTTTTGCTGTGCCATTCTCCTCCTGTGACACATGAGAGGTTCACCTGCTGTACGCTGACGTGGCTTTCCGTTGTAACCAGGAGGGCGCAAGGAACACGCTCTTGCATGCACTTGGCATAAGTCGAGCTAAAGAGTCCCTTTTCCCATACCGGGTGTTTTCGAGGTTGCAGGTGGCTGGTGAGCAGTTATGCGAGATACCCCTCTGGGATGGGGATCTGCCCTCGGGGTCGGTCAGTCCCAGTGCAGCCTCCGCCCGAGCGGGGCTGGGCCGCGTGGATGCGCAGGTCGTGGCGGGGACAGGCCGCAGAGCGGATGCCAGGAGAGAAAGGCGCTGACCGAGAGAAGGCAGGGCTCTAAACCGAGGTTTCCAGATGGTTTTGGCAGAGACTAAGACCCCTGTTACTTGTAAGCAGTAAGACATAACAGGGTGTGGTGATCCTATCTTCCGACGTGTGACCCTAGCCTTGCCGGCCGGCCGCAGGTACCGAGCTTCAGCCGCAGGTGCAGCGAGGCCATGGGGACCGCTCTCCCTGTGCCTCCAGCCCCATCAGCTCTTAGGATGCGACAGCCAGTCGAAGATCAGTTAAAGATTCTTCCCTCTCCCTTTTCTGACCATCTTTCGTCCTCCCATGTCTCCTCCTTTCCCCTCCCCTCCCTTTCCCTCCTCTTTTTTTTTCTCCTCCCATTCACTGTCAGGGAGGGCCGCCTCGGAAGGGCCGATTCCACAAGGCACGGCACCGGCAGAGACTAGCAGCGGCAGCAGCTACAACAGTGAGTGGATTGCAAATCACCAGGGGCTTAGCACAGCGGGGCAGGGCTTCGCCCCCGCCGCCCCCCGTGCCCAGGTCGCCGGCGACGCTCCCCGGGGCAATTTTACACCTTTGCGCCGAGCCACGCGGCCTCTTGGGCCGTCAGGAAGTCCCATGGCTTGAGCCCGCCTTGGCTGATCCGGCAACCTGTGCTCGGGGAGGACTCGGGGACGGAAGAGCTGGGGCTGAAGGAGGTCAGGGCTGAGGTGTGCTTGGCAAATCTCGGCGTGCGTGTGTGTGGATGTGCGTGCGCTGGGGAAGTTTGTCCAGGGCTGTTAGTCTCGAGCTGAAACGAGTGTCTGGAAGAGTAGTCTGAAAAGCTGAGTGGTGTAAGTGAACTAGAGGTGGGTGCAGGCCATGGAGTAAAGACTCAGGTGTGCTGAGGCTCCCACTGTACTAGTAAGCTAAAGGAGCCCGGCAATGTTCCCAGCCTTGATGCCCGCTGGTGTGGAGCAGCCACATCTATGCTGGGAAATGGTCATAGCCTCCAAACTGGGGGGACATTGCATCCAAGGTGCCTATAGAGATGGCACAACCCCATTGCTAAACACAAGCAGGAGTTTTTTGGGGAAGAAGGTAAAGAAGGCAACATTCAATTCGTGCCAGGGAGCGTTGCAAAACTTGACTCCCAGGGCTGGTTTTGATCCAGTGCTGGGAATGGCCATGGACATGCTGGAGTGTACTGGGACAGATGGAGCCTGAAGGACCCCAAAACTGGTCTTGCTGGGACTGAGGATTCAGCCTACATCTGGGTGGGGAAGGAAAGAACAAAAGAGGTTATCTGCAAAAAATTGAATCCAGATCACAGGTTCAGAGCACCCTCTCCTTTCTGAGCCTCTCCGAACCTGGGCGATGTTCTGGGTGTTTCCTTGGAGTGAGGAAAGCACTAACGCTTGCCTTAGCCGCGGAGGAAGAAGCGCATCCATTTCTCTGTCAAGGCAGGGAAATTTGTGTAGGGCGAGGGGATCCTCTCCCACAAACCTACCCCCAGGGTAGTCGCTGCAGAGTGAGTGGGTTTGCTGTGTGTGCCTACTGAACAGTATGTATCACCACACCGTGGGGTGTCTTACTGCTGATAGCAAATGGTGCTTAGTTACTGTATGTCTTGAAGCTGTTACCAAACTGTATCAATGTCTTTTTTTCTGCTGGTTCTCAAGGTTTTGCAGGTAGGTGGTCACGGGACCAGGGTCCACGCTGTGCCTGCGTTGCCCCTTGTGCACTGGGTGGACGGTGCAGACCTCTCCAAGCCTTAGGCTGCGGTTATCTTTCCCTGCCGAGTAAAACAGGAAGGCGCCCTGTCGAGTAAAACAGCAAGGCGATGTTTGCCCTCCCCACAAGAGATGCTTTTGGACAAAGTGTGTTTTCAAAGAGTTATTACATCCCCAGAGGGAAGGAAATATACAGTGGGTGCTATTAAGAGCGTGTTTGCTGATTTGTGGCATTGCTTTCGACAGAGCATTTCTTCTCCTTAAGGCATTGCTCTGTGGTAAACTGTATCCGAGCACTGGAAACGCTGACTTCTTAATGGTACACACTGTAAACAGCATTAATGTTTTTAATGGATAGAAGCACTCATCTCGTAACCCACTGGGGCTCGGAAAGATTCCGTGACCCTGCTCAGCCTTTCTGCTGTACTAAAAGGTCCAGCAGCTGCAGTGACTCCCCCCGCCGACCCCCTCCTGCATCTGCTGGGGTGAAGCGCAAGCCTGCTGACCTGTGCCTGGCAAACCTTCAAGATCTGCAAGGTTGAATAAACAAACAACCCTGGCACCAAAGCATGTAGAGGCCCTGCAAGGTTGTAGGTTTTCCGATTTGCTCCCTCTTGCCCTTGTGTGAGAGCTCGGAGCTGGCATTGGGAAGTAAACACTGGCCCCGGAGAGTGAAGGGAGGGGGAGAGAGAATCCCCTCTGAATGCTCACGGGGCATTTTCTCTTTAATTTGCACACAGTGTTGAAAAGAGCCGCAATAAAGAAGAGCAAAAATGACCTGATTCATGCTGAAGAAGGTGAGGACCATTTCACAGACATTTGCTCCGTTGGTGAGTACTGGCTTCGCATTCCCCGAGGTTTAGATCTCCACCTAAACGTGTCCATGCCGTGTTTTATCCGAGCGGCTCCTTCGCTCCAGAAGCTGCGATTTCAACAAGGAGAATGATCACTGCTCCTGCAGCAGCACTTGACCTTCCAAAGCAAATGGCTTCGTGGCTTCACCCTCTCCTGCACGCTGCCCTGCTCAGCTATTGCATGCTGCTCCCTCTAAAAGAGCCCTCCCGAAACACCTGGAGAATCCATGCTAGCGTTGACCATCCTGTGATTCTGCTTGGAGCGTGCTCTTTTAGTCTAACGAAGCCCTAATACATCAAATGATACTGGTCAGCCTTGCACCGTTAGGCTACGGAGGTCCCACGTGTTCAGCCGTGAACAGAGAGCTGGTTCCTTCCTGAGAGGGTTGGAGGTGTAGAGGCAGGAGCAGGACTCGGGTTTGCCCAGGGGGGCAGGCTCTGGGGCACAGCGCACCCGTCAAAGGGAGCTCCTTGGACATCAGCAGAAAGACCTTTCAGCCGTGGGCTTTTACTTGCGGTATGGGGAGAGATCTTCCCGCCTGCTTTGGAGTTAGCTATTTAGCTTAGTCCTGTCCCTGTTGTTTCAGGCTGTATTTTGTTTTGCTGCTGAAGCAGCAGATGTTCTCATTATCTTCCAAAGAAATGCCTTGGCACCCCAGTTACCACAGAGCAGCAAATCCTGGCTGCATACGAGTAACAGCACAAACAGTACATTTGAGAGTACGTGTCCATATACGCTTGCAAGCATGAGTGCCTCGAATGCTCTTTGGAAATTTGGCATTAACATTTTAAGAGATTACAGCTGCCGCTGGATTTACACCCTCCCCATTCCCTCCCTTTAAATGGAGGCCTGTTTGCAGCAATGGATGTTGTTCAGCATGTTACTGACACCGTCACCCACTGTGGAACTGCCACAGTCCCCCAGGCTGAGCAAGCTGCAGGTTCTGTGGCTTAACTGCTGACACTTCTATGAGAGGTTTGTTTCTGAAAGAGGGCAAAAATGCAGCAACCGTGTGCATTTTTGGTTCGTTTCATTTCATCCTGAGCAGCTCAAATCCCCGCATGGATAACAAGGAATGGTCATTTTGGGAACATTTGTTCACAGTTGCAATAATTATGAGATCTTTGCATTCACATCCAAGTCCCTCCAGGCTCTGGGCACCCATGCCACGCAAACAGATCTTTGAAGTCAGCGTTTCAGGTGGCAACGGATGATGGAGCATCTGGGCTCGTGGATAATCTGATGCAGAGCTGGGAACTGTCTCAGGAGCATATGGCAGGGAAAATAACAGCAGTGCTTTCCACCTTCTGCGAGTGGTTCACCCACTTGGGAAAAGTGTTTTTGATTTTGATTCACGGAACAAGGCAGAAAAGAAGGAAAGGATGAAGCAGATACTTCTGCAGGCTCCTGAAAAGGCTGAAACTCTGCATAACATAAACAATCAGATCATATGGGCAATTATGCATAAAGAATATGTTTTTTGAGTGAAGATTTTTTGGACGGTTTTCCATAATGTGTTGCTGATGGGAGCATAAGGAGCGTGGAAGAACTAACAATATAATTACTGAGTGCAACGTGAAGATGCAGACCAGGGTGGTGGAGGCTTTGACAGGTCTCTTGCTGGCCGTTGGCTGAATATGTTGCACTTTAATTCAAAACAAGAACCTCAATGAGCCTTATAACTGCATTATAAAGCTCTGTAGTGGTAAACACTTCCCATTGTTTTCTCTGGAGCTGTTCTTAACATTTAGTCTTTTCTTTCATCCTACCTCTCAGCCTTTCTTTCTGCACTAAAAAGTGTGCAGCGGTAGATACTGGCTCCTTCTGGCTTCCCACCCTCTATGCTGTGCCAGACACAGGCCACTTTTGGTTGCCAGATAGCAAAGCCTGGAGAAGTGGATGTTTTCTGCATTAGATCAGTTTGCTTACTGCTGCTTTTCTTTACTGGAAGATCAGTGCAGAGGGGACAAAAGGGCGGCAGACTATTCCCATGGCAATCTGACAGTGTAGACTGCCTTGAATATCTGAGAGGTCTTTACCTGCTAAAAGAGTATTACGATATAGTGCACCTCTATCTTAACCTGTAGTTCATTTTGTTGCCCTAAAGCAATAGATGACCACTGATTTTTAACTGCCAAAGGGAGGATTATCAAACTAACAGAACACACCGAGCTTTTCCGCAAGGTGTTTGTTCAGAGCTTGGCCAGGTGTGTTGGTGGATGGCCGGCAACGTGAAAAGGAGCAGAGAGCTTCATTTCTGTTGGAGGGACGGCGCAGCACATGCTTCTGTGTAGCTGTGAGGCTTGGAGGATCCATTGCTGTCACATCTGGATGCTTCATCCTTTCTATGGATGCCATGTTTGCTGTTGTGGCAGGATGAAACGGTGAGATTCCCACGCCTTCCAAGTGCTAAAATGTAAGCGAGTGCGCTGAAAAATTTGACTGCCACAGCCAGAACACTTTGTTCATGTAACCCAGCCATCTCCAATGGCAGCCCATGCAAGTCATCCACTCTCTGGTCCAAGACAGGACAGCATGTGTCCTGGTCAGCCCTACCCTCTGGGACGTTCTCTCCCATGATAAGGAAGGGCAGGAACATCTTATCTTGCCACGCACCACCCCGAAGAAAAGTTTTCCAGCAGTTTGAGGGGTGCCAGCACAGCGTGAAACAGGTAGGAGGGACAGCCTGTGGCTGTCACGATTTGCCCCGCTTTCAGACAGAGTCTGCAGCCACTGCAGAAGAACACCAAGGGTTGCGTGTGTTTGTCACTCACGTGTGCCGATTTCTCCTGCCTCAGCACTGGCCGGAGATTGCCTTTTCATCATTTCTTTGAGCGGTGCCTGCAAGCACAGGGGGAGAGCTTACATTAGAAATTGTTTCTTCCGTCGGCTTCCTATTGTTCCAACATTTGACTCTTTTCCAGGCTTTCAGACCAGAGTTGAAATGTAGCTGATACAGGCAGAATTGACACAAATGAGTAGCTGCTCCCAAAACACGATGCGTGGAGGCATATTGAGTCTTCTGCTGTAGAGACACATGAAATTGGAGAGCAAAATAAAGGAAACTTCACGCAGTTCAATAGCAAGGGCTGGATCTTTGACTCGTCCTTGGAGCAGGGGAAATAGGGACCGACCTAACTGTTGCCAGTTGCCCAGCTCCAGGAGGATATGCTCCACACCACGGGCAGAAACACCACTGTGGCTGGTATTTTCTGGCTCTCAAATCAACTGGGAACCCAAAAGTTATGAGTTATACTGGAACAATCGAGATTGCTTCAAAAGGTTGGAGACCCAGTTTCTTTAGCTGGTGGAGCTGGGCATTCGTTCCTGAACTTTTAAAATCCCAGCCTTCATCCCTCATGATGTCATTGCAAGCAAGATGCCCTTGCTCAGCCCATGGTCAACGTGCCCAGCTTTCTGCTGCTTGGGAGAGGGTCTGTGTGCCCAGGAATGTCCTCCAGCCTTTCACCTGTCAGGATGTGGTGTGGTGACTTTTCTTTCTCTCCCAGGGTCTCCTTTTGCCCGTGCCAGTTTGAAGAGTGGGAAGAATGAGAGCTCGTCCTACTTCAGGAGGAAAGAGAAAATGTTCCGGTTCTTCATTCGGCGCATGGTGAAAGCTCAGAGCTTCTACTGGATCGTGCTCTGTGTGGTTGCCCTCAACACACTCTGTGTCGCAATGGTCCACTACGACCAGCCGGAGAAGCTCACCACCGCGCTCTGTGAGTACCGGGGACTCCACCTTTCCTCCAGTGAGATCTTGCATTTTTGATTGCTGCTGTCACATCCCCATGAGGTCTGGGTTTTGGCTTCCTTTGCCTTTTTCCAAGGAGGGTCAGAAGCGCAATAGTGATTAGCTCTAGTAATTCAAGAGTAATCGAGTCATACAATTGACCGAAAATCCACCAGGTCATGAGACTGGTTTGAAATGGGAACGTTTTCCCTCAACGTTGTCTGAAACTTCAGATTCAACTACATTTAAATCTTGCAGCAAGACGGGAGGATTTGGTCTGTAGCAGCTTTTATGAAAGGAAGGGGAGCAGCTCTGTGCCTGGGTAAAAGCAAGTTTCTCTCTCTAATCAGCATCTGCAGGATTCCTGTCACTTTGGGGCTGATCTGCATCCATGTGTGATTTCTGTTGTGGAGATACTTAAAGCTCTGCCAGCTGTGATGTCCCTGGGACAGCAGCACTCTGCTACCTGGGAGATAAAAATATCTCTCTCTGCTTATAGAATCGTGCCCTAATTTGCTACGGTTGTAACAGTTATTGTCATATTCTTTAAAAGGGTCCAATTTTATAGAAGATCTTTCTTGATAATCGTGCCTTCCTTAGTAATGGCGTGTGATTAGATGAGATAGATGTCATGATGCCCTTCTGGGAAAATATCTGCAATTGTGATAGCAATAATACCACACCGAAAATTACACTATATTTGCGCAAAAGCTTTTATTTTAGCTTGGTTCCTGTGCTCTTGTATGAGTTCAGGCTTCGGATAATTTATACATGCTTTTTGAAGTATGTTGGGGGTGGTTTTTTGTGAATGTGGATTTTTTATTTTTTTAGATTTGATATTGTTTTTTCCTATGATGAATAATAAATGGAAGTAGCTTTCTGCAGTCAGAGCTGTTACACACCATGTCACTACACTGAGGTTGCAGACTTGCTCACAAAACGTGTTTTAAAAAATGCGGAAGTTGAGGGACAGAGCTTTTCTTTTTTTTTAACAAAGGTTGTAGGCTGTGACTCCTAGAACTGGAAAACTGGTAGGAATTGGTAAGGTAAGAATATGGTGACAGTGAAAGTGGAACACGGCAGGTTTTTCCTTATGAAGGGAAGGGATGGAGGGTTTGTTGCTGGAAGACTTAGCTGTTGCATTGGCCACTTCTGGCTCTATAAAACCAGCCAGGAACAATCTTTTGTTCAGCATTTGATGTTCAGATGTGGGTAGTTCAGAATTCTTTAAGTAAAACTTGTGAGGTAAGCGAACAGAAAACTACGAAAAAAACCAAACCAAAATATTTGAAACAGTCTAATATAATAATTTTGGCTTAGATCATTAAAGATACTTATCTACATTGATTTCTATATAAATTAGATACTTAAATATTTCTAGCCCTGGATCCTCACGTCTTACCATATAATAAGGAAGCCGACTTTTGAAGTTTTTTTTTTAATATACCTAGAAGGTCAAGAATATTAGCAGCTCCGACTTCAAAAAAACCTCCCTAATAATGTTTGCTGAAATATTTAACACCACTAGGTAACTGCAGCTATAGCGAGAGATGAATAAGAAGGACAGAAACTTCTTTCAGCTCTGGGTTAGGTTGAGATTTTTTCTTCTGCAAGATTTAGACTGAAAAGAGAGACAGACTACACAGAGAAGTCAGTCTTGCTTATTCATTTCCTAAATTTAACAGAGGAAGTAATAAGCTAGATTGGCAGAGTAATTAAAAGTTTGAGGCTTAGGTTTTTCCTCGTGAATTAGGACTAAATGTCTAGAAAAAAACCCCACTTCTAAGTCTTTCAACTCAAAAGAGAAGGCTTCACATTTACAAACTGTTTTGAGAACACCTCAGGCAGAACTTTTCTAACATAAAGAAACCTGTGAGCCAGTGACTTTTACTTAATGTTCCTATGAGAGCTGGAAGGGCTGTTTCTGTTCAGGTGTAGCTGGGGCAGGGGCCACAGACTAGGCTCCCAAAGTACCTCAGCTGAAGAAAAAACAGGGAAGGTCGAAATCATGTTATGCCTGGGATCGTGGTGAATCCTTCCTTCGGGAGCTCCGGGTGTGTCCGTAACACTCGGTAGCGGGAACTTGGTTTCAGAAACCCTTGGGGAGTGTGCTTGAATTTCTTGGTGCTAGGGTACTACCTAGCTAAGAATGAGCGATCCCATTGACTCATTCTTACTGGGAAAGAGAAAAATCACCAGCGAACTGTGTGTTCCTGAGAGTTCAATCCTCAGCACCCTCCCACCCGTAGGTGCTCTCCCGTGCCTCGTCTGCCCTTTCTGTGTCTTTGTGCCACCCTGTACTTGTAAGACTTAAGTGTCCTTTTCAATAAGAAAACACCTGGATGGATGTTTCACAATTCCATCCCTTAGTCACTAGTATTTCTTTTAGGGAATCTACACTGCTAGAAACAGCACAGTGATTAGTGTGGGGTAGCACAAAGGTGAGTCACGGATAAAACCAGAAGACAGGAGGAATCATAAGTTTTGTGGATGTTCCTGAATAGGTCTAAACATTTGGTCTCTAAGCAGAGCGTTCGAACACTGACCACTGTGACAGAGAATAAAAGCCAGAGATATAGAATGAGAAGTCATCTTGGAAATTCTAAGATGGTCCACAAAATCTTTTCCTCTTCTTTCTTTCTTCCCCCCCCAATATAGTTTTCTCCAAGATGAGAAGCAGATGTGCCATGGATTCTTTCTGGGGAGGATTGTTTCTAGTCTGTCTTGCGGCACAGTGTAAATGAAACTCTGTGAAGAAAACTATTATAATGTAACTTTAGAACAAACTGCTTCCAGGAATTGTCCACTGAAAAAGCTTACAAGTTCAATCTCCTGAATTACAAGAGTCCTGTACCTCCAAACGCTCCCGATTTTTCAGGCTGATGGGCTGTAGTACCTGTCTTTAAGTTGGTAACATCCTAAAGGTTTCTGCCCGCTTCCCTGAGGGATGGGATAGTTTTCATAGCATAATCTTTCCCACTAATCTAAAGTCTAATATTGAATGCAGGGAATATTTTACACCTTAAAAGACATGAGACTTTGCATGGATTAAGTGACTGGTTTGTTATTGCAGTCACAGTAAGATGGGACTTGGCCCCTCTCACGTCTGCATGTGCTGAACTGCAGCCAGACTGGTGAACCCTGTGGTAAAGAGATTTATGAACAAGCCCAACTGTAGTTTAGCCCTTGAGGAGAGCTCCTTGAAAGCCCTGTTCTGCACAAGATTTGTGCACAAATCCATTAGAGATAGGCGGAACAAGGTTTCACAAAACCAGGGGATTTTATACAGCTCCTGGAAAGAAATTTGGCAAAATCCTTTAACTGTGAGAGTGATGGAGTTTAAAAATGGCTTTAAAGTTAATCCATGATGAGCAAAGTTTGCTACAGAGGAGCAGGACTTGGCTGATCTGATGCAGAGTGAGAGGGAGGTAGCCAATTCTAATTATGTTTTTTCATGGAAGGCGCTTAGAAATGAATTGATATGGGGAGTTTTGTTGAACTGTAGCAGAGGAGGAGTGTGGTAAAGTCTGGGAGGATCCACTAACCCCTGAAACTCTAGCCAGGCACCTCTAATTCAATTATACCTGTCCCTCTGGGGAAAAGTTTAATTACATTACAAATTAATTTTACTTAAAGTGTGGTTGGTAAAAGCCTACGGGTCTGCATTGATTTATTTTTCCCTTGGTCTTTTCCTTTTAACTTTTCTGTTCTTGAATTGTTCTGATTAGCTTTCACTGCTTGATATTCCATAGTGCTGCAACTGCTTTGGGAAAGGAACTGTAGGAGCTTCAGAACAGGGGTTGGGATTTCTTGAGTCTTATTGAAATTGTCAATGAGAAATTCTTCGAATTCTTGGGATATGATGAGTAACAGGACATACTTTATGCCTCTGTAATTATCCCTAAATTAGATCAGAGATTTTCCTTCTCTATACGGAAAGGACTCCAGTGCCAAGTTGCAAAAGGGGTTTTCTCATACTGCACATGGACTCGTGGAATGTTCTCACTGAAGCCCAGACCTTCTGTTCAATAAGTTCCTTATAAAAGTGTGCGTTTCATGCAGCTACCCGTGCTTGTTGTCTATTTTCGTTGATTTTCCAGCACTGCCAGTATTCTCAGACAGAAGAGACTCCTTTCAGCAATGATCTAGCCTAGAAAAGCATTCCTCAGATCTAGTAGCAGCAAAGATGCATCTTCAACGGAGGGGAACAAACCAACCAAATCCAGACAGTGGGCACACAGTGTTAAGGGATTTTCGGTTGGGATGGTGCGTTTCTAAAATACACGCTGTAGCTCGAGCGGAAATTGCAAGCCTCATGTAGAAAGAGCTGAACGCGTTTGCGTGCCTGGTGCTGGGCAGGAGGCCGGCAGAGGTGCTGGTGCTGGTCTCTTCTTCCTCTGACTAAGGTTGTGGGAGACTCTTGGAACCAGAACTCTCTGACCTTCATAGGGTGGGCTTTAGGGACCATGGGGAGAAAGTTTATGGACTGGATCAGTAAGATTTCACTTGGGACCCCTCTCATCGGGCTTCCCTTCCCCTGTGGCTGCCCTCAGGAAGCAGCTCTCGCCATGTTTCTCCAGCTAACAACACAACGATCCTTAATTTGCTCCTAAATTTGTATCTGCCTAAACCTAAGATCCAGAATGTCTCCTTTTGGATAAATACAATATTGGAAAACAGCATTTTAGCCATTACGGCCCAAGAATTTGTATCTGCCTAAACCCAAGATCCAGAATGTCTCTTTTTGGATAAATACAATTTTTGAAAACAGCATTTTAGCCATTACGGCCCAAGAATTTGTATCTGCCTAAACCCAAGATCCAGAATGTCTCCTTTTGGATAAATACAGTATTTTAGCCATTACAGCCCAAGAACGTCTTCCCTGCGTGCTGTGCAATGATGAACCATGTGTTTGGTGCAATTAGGCCTCTTCTGATGATGATGTGTTTTCTTTTGAAGTAGATAGCCAGCTCCCTTCGGATATAAATATGCAGCATTTGCAGTTGCGAGGGAAAGGCTTTCTGAAGGGAGCATCTTTATTTATGTCTGCTGAACATTTCATGTCTGCTTTGTCAAAGAGGAGAAACTCGTACTTCGCCAAGGTTCTCCTCCTGGTTGGTTTAATGCGTGAGGAGGATGAGAAGAGGAAACCAAAGCGTCAGGCTCAACACATGCTCCTAATGATACTGGACTTGGAGACTGAGTAGAAATGGAATTAATCTATGGGTGATTGACAAAAAAGAGCTGCTAATTATCTGATTCAAACCTATGGGGCCAAAAGATGCTAGCGCGGTCTTTGCCAATAGCACAAATTTGAAATTAAATAAGAGTATTTGTATCCAACTTTTTTCCCCCTTAAATCTCATTACAAAATGCTTCTGCTTAAAGCAGATTAAATTACACCTGGGGAGGTCCAAACAATGAAATTGCATTTTCAATTATATGGGCAGGGCCATGTCAGAGGGAATCGCATTTCTGATCTGTTCGCTGGGGGAGCTGATTCATCCCGAGTTAATTCCTCCTGCCCAAGGAGCTCACTAGGTCTGTATTTTCCTTGCCTCCATGCCTTGTCCTCACAGTGCTATGATTTGTAGCATCTGGTACCTGCTGAAATATGGCTATCGCTGCCTGGTTTGAACTCTGATCTAGATGGAAGCCGTCAGCTGTGAAAGGACGAGTCGGGTAGTTCTTTCAAGAGCAGCAGAAGAAAGTTACTTATTGCGTGTTCTGAGTTTCTAACATTTCCCATTGTGTGTTTTTTTTTTGTTTTTTTAAATAATTTTTTTCTTGATTCTGTTCTACTTATGGCATTTGTTAGCTTTATCTCCCCTATGACATTCTGGTTTTGCATGTGTGTCTGCAAGGTGTGTCAGTCAGATGATGGAACGTTGCACTTGTTGATACCTGGTTTTTGCTCCCATGTCTGCTGGATTGGTGACTGAACACTAATCCCTGTTTCTCCTCTCCTTTTCCTTCTTTTGAAACGATGGTAATTGTCTCCGCAAAGGGTTCTGAGATCTGTCGGTGCACGTTCCGGTGCACCCTATGTAGCATTTTTGTTATTCTGTGGTAGAATATGGGGCGCACCTGAAACGTAACTCTTAGAGGTGAGTCTGGTGGATAGATAAGAGGGTAAGAATCTCCCTGCCAGAGCGAGCTGCAAGGCTGACGGAGGTTGTGCAATGCTTTCTGTAGGTCTGCTCTACAACCCCTCCCTACGTGCTTTTGTCTCCCGTCTAAGCAAGGCCATCAGCTGCAGAGCTCTGGTTTGGTATCAACCCTTGTGGTAGGGAGACTGTACGTTGAAGTCGTTCCACTAAACACCGTCGGACTTGCTGAGCTCAGCTGAGTGTGAAACCGAAGATGGGAGCGATAACTTCCCAGCGAGGGAGAGGTTCCTGTCAGCACAAATGCTGCTGTGAGCTTTCCCTTTGGGCTAAGGACCGAAATAGAGGAGAGCAGCAGCGGAAATTCTTCTGTGCCCGGAGAGATCTGTCTGCTTTTTGGAGGGGGGGATTTTTGCCTTCTGTTTCTTACCATTTCCAAAGTGCATAGGGTACAGAATGGAAGTTCAGGGTCTGACCTGGAAGGATAGTTCAGGCTCGTGTTTTTACAAGGCCAGCTATTAATAATTAAGGATTATAACTTTCTTACTACTTCACAATGGTGATCTTTTTAATTACGTGCAAAGAAACTTTGTACAACTGAACACACGCTTTTTTTAAAAAAAATGGTATTTTTATATTATTGAACTTGTCAGCCATTATGTTTTATGCCTGACTTCAGTTCACGCAGTCCCTTTCTCACACCCTCTGCACTTGTATGGATGGGTTTTTTAATTATGTGCAAGGAAACTTTGTGCAACTGAACACATACTTTTTTTAAAAAAATGGTATTTTTATATTATTGAACTTGTCAGCCATTATGTTTTATGCCTGACTTCAGTTCACGCAGTCCCTTTCTCACACGCTCTGCACTCATATGGATGGATTGCCAGTGTAGCTGTGGATAACTCCCTACTCTGGGGTCCCTTGCTTTGAAAACAACTGTTTGCTCACTGGGCTGTTCTTTTTGGGGGCAGAAAGGAAAGAAAAGTTGTAGCATGATGCAGGTGTGAACGTGCTTCTCTTGGGAAGTTCCAACCTCAAAGGGAGATGGAGGCAAGCTGCTCTTCCATGTGACCATGCCTTTTCCTGAGCACTGAGCTCCAGCAGGAGGACCCACCTCTAGTAGGAAAAAGGCTGGGAAGTCTGCAGACCTCGTACTTGGACGTTTTATTTCTCAAATGTGAACACATCGCCCTTGGTAGTCTCCCTTAATGATACTGCTCCTATTTTCATGGAGAGTAGGTTGCATGGTATAATTAATACCCTCCTGGTATTTCTTCCCCTGTTGCAAATGTTGGCAGAAGTGTCCTTGCCAGCTCCTCGCTGAAGTGTTAATAAAACCCTTCTCATCTACTTAATGCTTCCTGGATTTCAGTTAACTTTATGCCCATGATATTTCATGATGGTCTTCCGCTTAAAATTTAAAACCCTGCTTTATTTTTTGATAATTGAAGCTATATTTTTCAAGCAGGTATGTGAGAGGGGTCTGGGTCAACCACGGTCATGTAATACAAGTGTGCAAGGCAGCGAACGCAGTGAAGTGAGTTTGAAAGGATCCTCGTTCCCTCCTCTCTCTTTCCCCACGCTCGTTAGCTGCAGCCACTTGTTGCAGGAGGTGTGTGAAGCACCTGGGGTTCAGGACTACCTAGCTGAAGTTTTCCTTGCTGTAGTTTGTATCCATTGCCCTTTGTCTGTCCATGGGTGCCTTTGAGAAAAGTTTGGCCTCCGACTTGTTTTTATCATTCCCGGAACCGTGAAACTGAAATTGCAGAAGACGACTTTCCCATAGCATCTGCTCTGCTACAGCATCTGACAACCTTCTGTTCTGGGCTAAGCAATGGGATTAATCTCCACCCTGTGAAGTTTGATTCTTCTCCTCATCTTTTCTCTAGAGGGAGAGGTTTGCCTTACACTATTTGGTTTGTTTAGGTAGTGTAGAGGGTTTTTTTGCCCTTTACGTGTTCATTTTGTTGCTGTTGCTTATTGGTCTTCAGATCTAAACTTGAGTGACTTAAAAAGCCAAAGGCAGTGTTTTCTGTAGCTTCAAGTCCTAAAAATTTGATCTGGAAAGGGAAGTCTCCAGCTGTGTTCTTTCTGCCCTTTGTTTCATCATAGGTGATAAATTTTACCCATCAAATGCTTCACAGCCTATTTGCCCGTGATATGTGAAGCAGAAGGAAACAGAACTTACTCTTCCATAATTATATGGTTATAGAGGCATAATAAAAATAAACGTGGCTACGTGCTAACAGTAGGCACAGCACCTCTGAGTAGGAGCACTCAGAAGCAGCAGTTCTGTTAGGTATAAAGGTATTTTTATCACAAGAAGATGCTACAAAAGCTTACACCTCACTCCCAAGAGTGCCCATCTCATATAGGCACAGAAGTCCCAAACGTACATTTGTAAAACATTATCTGTGCAATTAAATTAGACCTTTAGAAATACTGGATCCAGACCTTTCTTTTGAAATTCTTTTACGAAGACAGCAAGAATATTATTTAACACTCACACTAACTTTCCCCCAGTACACGTGAAACGTTGCCTTCGCAGTCCTTAAAAGCTGAAAACATACAGCTCACGTGCATATAGAAATAATTATGTGAAACTCTCCTCAGGCTCTTGCTCGCCATTGCAAAGGGATTTTCTTCTGATGGGTGGCAGTCTGTGTTGTGAAAAATTACCGCCACTCCCCATATGAAGAGATCTGCCTACCAAGGTCTTGCAGACTTATTTAATCTCTTTTTTTCTCTTTCCAGATTTCGCTGAGTTTGTTTTTCTGGGTCTATTCCTTACTGAGATGTCTTTGAAGATGTACGGGCTGGGGCCGAGAAATTACTTCCACTCCTCGTTCAACTGCTTTGACTTTGGGGTGAGTAGCCTTCAGCTGCAGGGATGGAGATGAGGGGAGGCTGCCCCGTTATTCGGGAGGGGCATTTAAGGGTCTGTATGGGAATCTGGGAGAAATGGGGCTGCAAGTGTGCCTTCTATGGGGAGTAATTGTATAAATTACTGGCCATGAAGCACATGAAGCTGCTCCTAGTCATCATCCTTTCTGAATAAACGTGACAGCTGGGGATTTCATTGTCTCAGCTACAGGGTGTTCACAGCATCAGCACTGGTAAATGCTCTGATTCCTGAGAGATTCTCTCTCCCATTTAAATGAAGTGATTGAAAGACCAAAAAAAGTCCCCCTCCCATCTTATTGCTCATCTCCCCTATCATCTATTTAATGGCCTTTACCTCAGGGTACATAGGCAGAGCTTTTCAGACGTGAGTGCCCAGAAATAGAAGTCTAAGCACATGATTCTGTGACAGAAATGCAGTAACTCATGTCCTTTTATTGCAGAAGTATGGGCTCTCCCCTTTGTGCTAAAACAACAGCTTCAAAATGTGAATAGTGGGGGCAGGATTGACTCAGTCTAACCAAGAGTTTTGCATGCAGGTGTTAATTGATCCATTAAAAGCTCTCGGGCTGTAATCTGCATCCCAGAGCAGGAATCTGTCTGTAAGGTTTCTTTAACAAAATCAGATACAAGGCTTACGCTACAGCCCTTGGCAAGGGGAAAAGTATTCAGGTCATTGCACCTCTCATCCAACCCTTCTCTCCAAGATTTAGTCTTTTGTTTCTAGTCTTTATCTGCCAAAACGTGGCATTGACTCTTCTTCCCCCATGGAACAAAATTCCTGGCTCCAGCTCCGCTCACACAAAAGAGGGAGGTGTTCTGTAAGTGACTGCTCCTAAACCCAAGTCTGCAGGTAGAGCCAACTTCACAGAATCACAGAACTTCTCCTCTTTTTGGCAGTGTCAGCAGGGAGGCTCAGAGGCAAACAAACTTTGAGATTAAGCCATGCAGCTCAAGAACCACCTCTGTCCAACAGACCAAGGTGTTGCCTCAGGCAGCCCCAAGTGTGGGGCTCCTCTCCAATGTGCCCATCAAAGCTGGTGCTGGCTCAGAGCACTGCAATTCCTTGTGCCCCTCTTTCTGGCTGCACAGCCCAGCACAAACTCTGTCATGAGTGGAAACCGAAGCACAAATAGCACGAGGAATGGGAGGTAACTGGATGTCTGCACATTCAGATTTGGTGCCTAATTGGAGGGGCAGAGAGGTTCCCCCCAGCTGAAGGCAGCCAACCCCTGGCAGGCTGTACCTGCAGTGGCAAGATGTCCTGCAAAGGCTGGAACAAAACGTGTTCCCACAGAATACAAGGGCCTGACATCCATCTTTTGCTAAGTTCGGAGCATGTCAAAGCTTCTGTAAGCTTGGTGGGCAAGCAGTTTGCCTTTTAAGGGTATCATTTTCTTGCTTGCATTGTTTAGTGACAGACTACGCCGATGCCCTTTATCAGTGGATTAGGTGGGCTCCAGGGTGCAGCCGGCTTGCACCCCGCTGGCTGCCAATTTCCCTGGGTTATTGTACCCAGGAGTACCCTTGTACTCCTTCCACGGGAAGAAAAGCTCATACCTGGTGGTCAGGGACGGGTGATTTAGGAGCTTGCATTAAGCGAGAGATAAACCTACTGGGTCTCTTTGCTTTGTGGTGAGTGCAGCGCTGGCGATAAGCTTTGCCGAGTGTTTCCCAGGAGGTAAAGCTGTTGATTTGTTTCTAATTCTTTCTCCTTTAGAGAATCCATAGGGAACCTACTTCTATCTGTGTTTTTTCCTCCTCACCCACCTTCCAGCCCCCAGAATTAATTCAGTGACTTCACCCCCACTGGAACATCACACAGATCTGTAGTCAGTTTAGTTGACAAACCACCGAGATGAAACCACTCAAATGCAAAAAGAACAAAAAAATCAGGGCAACATCAGCCTTGGGAGAAAAAGTCCAGCGGGGTCTCATGTGATACAAGCTCCCAGGGGACCGTGCTGAGATGCCAGGAAAACAAATTATTGGTGTAACATGTGGAAGGTCTACAGAAAGGTTTTTGCTGATTCATGAGGGATTCCCAAGAGCAATAGACTGTAGGAGAGAGATTTGAGTTCCTTCTTTTTCTGACGGGAGAGACTCGGTGAGCAGCTGTTATGTATCTTCTTTTCCCACTATGTATTCTTGAAGCTCAGGCTACAGCATTTTAGAGCAGCTGCAAGCAATGTTGTCCTTCTCAAACACATCCAGGTTTCTGTTTGTGAAAGGGCTTTTTGAGCTGCTGAGCCTCCCAGCACAGCTCAGGCACAGCTTCCCTGCCCCGACTTCCCAATAAAACCCCCTCCTCACAAACCGGCTGCTTGCTGGGCTCCAGTGATAATGTGTTGACGGTGTGCTTCATGCAGCTGGGGAGCATGGTCCATGGGAGCTCTGAAATGATAGCTTGATGCAGGTAAGAACAGCAACTGGCAGCAAAATGCCTCTCTCCCCCATTAACTGTGCAGTAACTTGTGTGGCTGTAATTGCCCTTTCCAATTGTGCTTAACCCATTGCTGTTTTGTCCTTTTTGTAATAAAGGATTTCAGAGAGGATTTCTTTATTGCTTGAGGTTAATTCTCTGTCAACCTTAAAACAAACAGGCAAAGCAAAAACTTAAAAACCCACCTTGATTGGGGCCAATTCCTTCAATAACCTGAGGCTGAGGGCCTGGCAGATGATTGGATGTGCCTGCTAGAGGCTTTGCAGAATCTCTTAATGGTGATTGCCTTAATCGCTCTCTTAAAGACTCTCAGTTGCCCGAAATTTCTAGTAGATCTTGGCTAGAGCTAATGCTTCACTCTTCTGCAGTGCTGTGGTGGAAGGCTTTTGGTGTTTCTGACAAGAAGGGGAGGATGGGGCAGTGCCCTCCAAAAAACGTTATTTTTCAAGGTAGCAACAAGTTCTTATTTCTGATCTCCCGTGCCCTGCTTCTAGATGTTGCCCTTTTTTAGACTGAACTACAAGAAGCTGGAACAAGGTTTTTTGGTGCTATTGGCCAATTCATTATTTTATTGAAGCCTTCATAAGAAAACCATCAGAGCTCAAGCTCTGATTCTTGTGCCATCCTCAGCCTCTCTAGAAGCACCAGAGAGGACTAAGCAAAAGTTTTGCCTTATGTAAAATGGACTCTTCTTGCAGGTCATCGTGGGAAGTATATTTGAAGTTATTTGGGCTGCAGTGAAACCGGGTACCTCATTTGGCATCAGCGTCTTGAGAGCACTTCGACTGCTGAGGATTTTCAAAGTAACAAAGTAAGTCCAACTTCCTTTTCTTTCACATTAGACCATATCAAATCTGTGTTACCAGCCTCGCAGCAAGTAGTAGTATTTTCCACACGTGTTTAAAAAAAAATAATTGGAAAAATTTAAAAACCCCAACGAAACAAAAGGAAACAACCCCCAAAACCCTGTATGAGCTGGCACAAGGGTCTTGTCTGTCCTAACACCCTGCAGTGCCCCTAAGGGGAACCATAAGCGAACTTCAGATGTGGAATTGCCCTTGCCATGGCTGGGCAGTTGAGGTTTCTGGCACTTGAAAGCTCAGGGAGTTCTTGAGCTTATTTTTGCACCCACAAGGAGTTTAATCAGCCCTTTCTCCAACCTCATGGACAGGTTTGTCTGCCCTGAGGCAGAGGCGTCCACACTGTAGTGATGGGTTGCATGAGAGTATTTTTCTTCTCTTTGTTTTTTAAGCTCACTTAAAACAAAAATCGTTTAAGGCCATCCCTTATTTCTTGTGGTAAGAGAAAAAAAGTTTCTCATTTACTTTCTAAGCCTCATCAGCTGCCCACTATCCTTATGTGCTGCTGTTCTGGTTCCTTAAGTATTTAGGAACTGGAAAACTGAGCTACCCTGGTTATTGCTAAATACTAAATCCTGGTGCCTGAACCACTGTATTGACACAAATACGACGTGTGTGGCTGCTGCCTGTGCTGTGTCTGGTCTGGGAATGCCTGAGGTTTTCAGTCTTGACCTGTGAAGCTGAGTTTTCACTGGAGTTGGGTTGCCACAGCTTTTCAGTTATTTTTGCACTCACGCAGCACGTTAATGTGTGCTGGCATTGGCAAACAGCAACAGAGCAAATTATGCATCCATCTAGAGCAATTTCTGCATGATTTCAAAACTGTGGTATGGAAACTGATGACATATTTAGGTGCTTCTGCTGTTTTCCACCGTTTGTGCACTATTTTACAGCATTACTTCCTCAGATGTCCCCTCTTCCCATTGCTCTCTTTCTCAAAGCAACAAAAGGAGGAATAGCACCTCCCTTCAAAAAAACCCAACCACCTCAAATAGAATAAAGCACAGGTTATCACATCTGAGCAAAGCAGTCTTTCAAAGTAACCGAGTACTTTTGCAGCTGTTCCAATGCACAGGTTTTGTCAGCTCCATAGGCTTTGCTGGTTTGTATCTGCTAATCCTTATGCAGAGCCAAGATTGGTGGAGTTTGTTGTACTGTGGGATAAAGGGGTTGAAAATGTAAAGTTCTGTACAAGTCTGGCAAATTAGGTGGGTGCCTACCCCAGAAATATCACTGTAGTCCTCTTTTGCACTAATCTTATTTTGGAAAGCTTCATGTTTTGTAGCAGATTCAAAGCAATTAATTGTCAGCAGTCAGTTTTTACGCAAAGCTCCTGAGATGTAGCGTATATAACCGTGTGTTGCACTTTTTAAAAATTGTGGACATTTTTGCATGTTAAAATGATCTTTCTCAGTAGTGAGAATGTGAGCCAACACAATAAAGGGACGAAGCTTGAGATTTAACTTAACAAAGAGTATCATGGAACAAGCTGTGTGATCTTCCGCCTTCTCAGGACAAGAAGTGAAATTCTTGTCCTACTGATGCTGAAGTTCCCTCGACTTTATTTTGTGGTTTTTCACATGACATGACAAGACTACAAGGGGATTATGCAGCCTAAGAGGGGCTAAAAATCAGAGAGGAGGACAAGGAGAAAACAGCTTCACGTGTTTTCCTCTTTGTCATGATAGAACCGAATGGGGACTGGCATCTGTAGAAATGCAACTCCTCATTATCCTGCCTCCATAATCAGGCAGGGTTTAGTGCTGAGCTATCCCAGGACAAGAGGGAGCTTCCACATTTATTTTCTAAGCCCTTGCCCATGGCAGTTTTAGCCTGAAGACATTATGTCAAGCAAGGAAGAGCTCTGTGATCAGCAAACTCTTCCTCCTTCCCCACGGAGAGCAGATCAGCCCCTTTTGCTCAGGGGCTAACCCTGAGTAGGTTTAGTTGCAGCTTTTTTGACTGAAGATTGAAAACTGTGTCACCGTATCATGGACATAACTTTTCTTGGAATGGGTGCAAGCAGGAGAGCTGCTTCTCCTGGGATAGATATGCTTACGTCATCCTCAGCACAGAGAATTATTGGGGTGGTTTGGTCCTTCCAGCTACACCTGCGGGAAGGAAGGCGAGGAAAGTGAAGATGAAAAGAAAGGATGGGGTTTGGGCTCTTCTGACTCAAGCTCTGAGCTTCTTTCCTCATCAGCAGATCAGAGATCCATGGGCTTCCTTCTGCTGGACACCACGGCCACGCTGCAGGGTCAGTCCCCAGAACTGAAGGATGTGCAGGGCAAGGTGATGGAACACGCTGCTGTGGTGGGCAGGTCTGCATGGCAGCTCCCAGGGCCAGGAGATGGAAACAAGAGAAGTCGCTGGAGAAGAAGAGACTAGAATTTCCCCCCATTGTCTCAGACTCAAAACTTCTAGCAGAAGACACATGAAATGGCTCTAAATCACTCATTCCCTACTGCTTGCTCCAGCCCCTTTGTTCCGCACGCCTGTCTGTCCAAAAGGAGATTGTCAAAGAGCTCCTCCGCTTAATAGGTCTTTCTGCATTTTCTGACTCATTAGTTTTCCTAATATAAATGCTTCCTGCCTGCTCTCAGCAGGGAAATAAAGCCAGGAAAGAGAGCTGTTTCTGAGCACCCTCCCCACCCCGCCAGCACTCGACGTCCCTTCCTGCGAGCGTGCCAGGAGCCGTCTCGGGCGACAGGGGAGATAAAAGCAAACGAACTTCATTATCTGGCGAGATGTGACTCGGCCGTGTCAGTCAGGATTCACGCTGAGCCATTCCCTCTTGCCATGCTGGAGTTAGTGTCCTGGATTTGTTTTCGTCCTCTGAGGTAGTTGCTGGGTCCTGGATGCTCAAATCATGCGGCTGAGTTGTCCCACGCTGAAGGCATCGCTGTGCGTGAACGTGTGTTAAACATTCACAGAAATGTTTGAACACGTGGGAGTTTAAGTCCACTTGTGGACGCTGGCACTTGGAGGAGTTGGAAGGACGCACTGCAGAGATGTCCTGATGGGAATGAGCTTTTTTACTCCTGGCTCTTGTCTTATGAAGGGAGGGATTCACTCTCCCCACATTCGGTCTCGCCTTGACGATATCAATCCATTTTGGCACCCCTGCTGCCTGCTGTGCCGGGTTAAGAGAATCATAGAATCATCATAGAACAATTCAGGTTGGAAAAGACCCTTGGGATCATCGAGTCCAACCATTGACCCTACACTACAAGGTCACCCCTA